ACATTTTTAATAATTATGTTGGTTAAGTAACCTTCTTCTTCTTCAAGTTCCACTCCTATCGGAGATTGGAAATCATTCTGGCAATTATAATTTTATTGGTTACTCGCCTGAATAGTTCAGTTGAACTGAATCCAAACCATTCACAGAGATTGCGTAGCCAAGAGATTTTACGTCTTCCTACGGTTCTTCTGCTTTTGATTTCACCCTGCATTATATTCCTTAGTAGTTCGTATTTTTCACCTCTCATGATGTGCCCCAAGTATTCCAATTTCCTGATTTTTATGGAATTTAAAACTTCGCATTGTTTTCCTAGTCGTTCGAGAACTTGTTCGTTTGTTTTGCGATCCATCCATGATATTTTCAAAATATTTCGGTAACACCACATTTCGAATGCTTCTAGGTTTTTAATGTTGGATTTTTTAAGTGTCCAAGCTTCAACTCCATACAAAAGGGTAGAGAAAATATAACATCGAATCATTCTTATCCGGAGCGATATATTGATATCGCGATTACAAAAAAGCTTTCTCATTCTATTAAAAGTTGACCGCGCAATTTCAATGCGGCATCTTATTTCTTTTGTCTGATCAGTATCTTCTGTGATCCATGCTCCAAGGTATTTGTACGAAGATATTTGTTCAATTTCTGTATTATCTAGTACTAGCTTAACTTTGATGTTTTGTGCTTTTGTAAATACCATGAACTTGGTTTTCTTCAAATTGATTTTTAGTCCATAATCGTTGCAATATATATTTAGTTGTTTAGCAAGGTGTTGCAGTTCTTCTAGTGTTCCTGCCAGAAGGACGGTGTCGTCAGCATATCTTATATTATTAAGTGGCTCAACGTTTATTATAAGGCCCTCACTGATCTCGGCAAGCGCTAATTCTGAGATGGCTTCACTGTATAAATTGAATAACAAGGGTGATAAAATACACCCTTGGCGGACCCCACGGCGAATCTGGATATCCTTGGTCAGTTCGTTTTCAACTTTCACTTTTGCTGTTTGATTCCAATAGAGGTTACAGATGATTCTAATGTCTCTACTGTCTA